GAACTGCTCAAGCAGTTCTCTCCTTCTCCCCTCACTGAAGTACTCAGAGTTGATGAGGAACCATGCAGACACTGTTTGGCCACATAATCTTCCATATCTGACATAAATCTCCACATTTCTGAAAGAATTCCTGACGTGTTCATTAATGCTGAATTGTCGCTGCTTGCTGACCAAGGGTAGAAGGCAAAGGTTAGTTGACGGGTCTGTAATGCATTTTTCTTTCAGTTGTAGATAGGTGAGGTTTTCATTTGTGTTTGGATCAAAGAACCCTTTTGTGTCATCGCTTGGATCGGAGAGAATTAGATTCATTTTCTTGTCAAAATAGCCTCGCTTGTAGGCCACTTCGACTGGGATTCTGAGACTGTTTATGGGGTCGATAACGCCACCAGTTGCAATCTGGGCTTCCAAGAGCCTAATGCCGTGTTCTTTGACAATTAAGCCCTTGTTCATTGCTTGAAACAGAGAAATTCTTTCACCCGTGTACGGATCTTTGTATCCGGTAACTGATTTTTCTGCTGCCAAAAGTTTTTCATAGTACTCAGGACCGATAATATTTGCTTTGAGAGCTTCATCTACTGAGAACTTGGTGTTTTTCACTGGATCAATAATATAACCTGTTGCTGCTTGTGCTTCAAGGAGAATCAAGGAAGTCCCTGGTCTTAGGAAGCCTTTTCTCTTTCCTTGGTAAATGCTGAGCTTTTCTTGGGTATCTGCTAGGAAAAGTCCACCAATACTTCCAGTGCCTTGCAGGTATTTCTTGACTGTGTCGATATTCACCACGTCCTTTGCTGAAGCTTCACCTTGCTGCAGTTTATTGAACAAGGTCTTGTCAATAATTTCAGACTCCAGCAGTTGCCCAGGAGTTACTGATTCTCTAAGGCCTTTAAATGTGACTTTGGTGGAGGATACCACTTGCTTTATCTCCGCTTCCACTTTTCTAGACAATTCTTCTATGGAAAGACTTCCAGCTTTATACAGGCTGATGAAAGATTGCCTTAACTCAAAGCTAAAATATTCTGAGAAAAGAATTTGCCACAGGGAAACAAGATGTCCTTTAAACTTGCCAAATGTAAGTGTCAGTTTTATTCCATCGAAAATCACTTTGGTCTTATAATCTACATATGAATGTGTGGTTTTCTGCTCATTGTCAAATACGGGAGTCAGGTACAGCCCAGAGTTAAGATCGATGACGCTCCGTTCCAGCAATTGTTCATAGGTAACATTTTCTTTTAAGTTTGGATCGAAAAATCCTTTTATGTCATTGGTTTGAGCAAGCAAAATTTTATTTGTGTCTTCATCAAAGTGACCACGTGTGTAAGCCACCTCTACTGGAACACGATGCTTCTTTGATGGATCGATGATTCCACCTGTGGCAAGCTGGGCATTCAGAAGATGGACGCCATGATCTCTTGTGACAAAGCCCCTCTTTATTGCTTGGAACAATGAAAGTCTCTCTGTAGAAGAGGGATCTTTGTAACCTGTGGCTGCCCTTTCAGCAAACAGAAGTTTTTCGTAAAGCTCAGGTCCAATCAAGCCATTTTTCACTGCATCTTGCACAGAAAATTTCAGGTTCTTTACAGGGTCTATCAAGTATCCGGTGGCAGCCTGAGCCTCTAGGAGGGCTATGGACGTTCCTGGCATGAGAAGATGTTCTTTCATTGCTTGGTAAATGCTTATTATCTTATTTCCAGAAATATCTGCCACTCCAGCAATTAAGCCAGTTCCCTCAAGATAGCGCTTCACATTCTCCTGGTCACCAACATCTTGGATGGATAGTTTTCCTTTCTGGAGGCTTTCAAATGTTGCCTGATCAATGATATTAGAGTTCAGTAATTCATCACTTGTAACTTTTCCCCTTATACCATGGAAGGAAAGTTTCAAAGGAAAGAAGTATGCATTTAAGTTTGGATCAAATGTGGCTCTCGATCTAAGTTCCTGATAAGTAACCCAGTCATCAGTGTTGGGATCCAGGAAACCAAGATTTGTGGTTAACAGTTTAGCTGTATCTTCATCCAATAAACCTCGTTTATAGGCGGTTTCCAAAGGGACGTGAAAACTGTGGAATGGATCAATAATTCCTCCTGTTGCAAGCTGGACTTGGAGAAGATTAAGGCCCAAGTTTCGGTCAATCAGCTCTTTCTTTATTGCGTGAAAGAGGGAAATTTTGTTCACGGTGTATAAATCATTAAATCCAGTGATTGCTCGTTCAGCATTCAGTAGCTTCTCTTTGAGGTCAAATCCCACCACTCCTTCCTGAACAGCTTGGGTGACGGTGAAAGTTTTGTTGTTCTCTGGATCTACGATGAAGCCTGATGCTGCTTGAGCTTCCAACAGAGCAACTGCATAATCGGTCGAAAGAAAGTTTCTCTTCAAAGCCTGATATATACTTATTTTCTCCTTCGTGCTTTCTACATATACTCCTCCAATGCTCGACGACCCATTTAGAAACTGTCGGACCTCTTGCAGTTCTCCAATCTGCTGTATGGTTTGTTTGCCTGCTTTGATTTCATCGTACTGAACCTGAGTAATTATGCTGGCCCTGAACAGTTGCTCCAGATTGACAGACTTCCTCAGACCTTGCAGACTTTCCTGTAGAGGAAGAAGTACCAGTCCAGTTTCTGAATCTGTGAAACTTTTAGACAGAAGCTCCTGATAGCTGGAACCTTCCTTTGTATTGGGGTCAGGATAACAGCTTGAGAATTCTGATGGGCCAATAAGCGTTTTGAACAAACTCTCATCTATGTAGTTAGCTTTCACGGCTTCTGAAAATGGTACTCTGCTTCCATTCATGTAATTGATAATTCCACCGGTTGCGATTTGGGCTTGTAGAAAACGCACTGCGTTGTTTTTCCCAACCAGACCTTTTTTATATGCCTGGAAGAGAGATATTGTTTCTTCTTTGTGTTTGTAGCCTGTGGCTGCACTATTTGCCAGCAGCAACTTTTGTTGATACTCTGGCCCAACAATGCCTTGTTGAATAGCTGCCTCTACAGTCAGTTTTTGATTGTTTGATGGATTGGTGATATGGCCAGTTGCAGCTTGGGCTTCCAGCAGAGCCAGAGCCACCTCCTCAGAGATAAGATTTTTCTGTACGGCTTGGTAAATGCCAACTTTCTCTTTTGTCTGAGACACAGAGAAGCCACCGATGCTTGGAGTGACTTTGATGGGTTCGGCAGCTTTCTCCTGTTGGCATACAGCCTCGTGGTGGCCTACAGAACCATGAATGTGATGGGTGGCATGGTGGCCTACAAAGCCATGCATGTGATGGGTGGCATGGTGGCCTACAGACCCATGAATGTGATGGGTAGCGTGGTGGCACTCGGTTCCACCAATGTGGCCGGTGACTTCAATGAGTTCAGCAGCTTTTTCCTGGTGGCATACAGCCTTGTGGTGGCCTGCAGACCCAGGTATGTGATGGGGGGCAAGGTGGCCTACAGACCCATGAACGTGCTGGATGGCTTGGTGGCACACGGCTCCACCGATGTGGCCGATGACTTCAATGGCTTCAGCAGCTTTCTCCTGGAGACATGCAGCCTTGTGGTCACCTACAGACCCATGAATGTGAGTGGTGGCATGGTGACACTCAGCTCCACTGATGAGGCCGGTGACTTTGATGGGTTCAGCAGCTTTCTCCTGGTGGCATGCGACTTTGTGGTGGCCTACAGACCCATGAATTTGAATGGAGGCCTGGTCGCCTACAGACCCATGAATGTGAGCGGAGGCTTGGTGGCCCTCGGCTCCACTGATATGGCCAATGACTTGGTGACCCCCGGACTCATGATGGCAGTGAGAACTGGATGAATGTGAAACCTGCTGAAGACCTTGAAAAAACTGAGTTTCCACCTTGCCTTCCATGTCTTTCGATGCGGGAGGAACCTTGCCGTGTTTCCCATGTTGGTGATGACCTTTGCGCTCCATTGTTGTAGCCTGTGACGACTTTACTCCACACTCTTGTCAGACTTTTTTTCAAATGCTGTTAAAAAACAAAGAGGAAAAAAAAATAAAGATTATCTTTTTGTATGGCAAGGTGTACATTGCACCTATAATAATCCTCACATACTAGTGTTAACACTTCACCCCACTGGATACTGTGAACATTGGAGGTCAAGATCAATAAATTATATTTATATTCTTGAGCATTCAGTTATATTTGTGTAGGCCCTAAAATAAGGTACTCTGCCTAAGCGGGGATGTTGCCCATGTAGGGCAAAGTGACAGTGTCTCTCCGAAAGGTTGAGTCTCATCCACCTTGCCAGGGATCCCTTGCCGCCCTTTTGTCCTCCGCAGTCGGTGCTGAAATAGTTGGCGTTGCCAAACTAGGGGAGTGATGACATCACTTCCTTGGCTATGTAGCAGTGCTCAAACCTAGCAATTGGCTGCTACACCCAAGCACTGTCACAGAGGAGCAGGTCCCAGATCCAAAAGTGGCCAGTATTGAAGACAGTTGTGGAGGAGAAAGGAACACTAGCACCAGTAAAGGGATTATAAGGGAATCAGGAATGGGGAAAAGGTGACAGTGTCTCTCCGAAGGGTTGCGTCTCATCCACCTTGCCAGGGATCCCTTGCCGCCCTTTTGTCCTCCGCAGTCGGTGCTGAAATAGTTGGCGTTGCCAAACTAGGGGAGTGATGACATCACTTTCTTGGTTATGTAGCAGTGCTCAAACCTAGCAAATGGCTTCTATGCCCAAGCACTGTCACAGGGGAGCAGGTCCCAGATCCAAAAGTGGCCAGTATTGAAGACAGCTGTGGAGGAGAAAGGAACAATAGCACCAGTAAGGGGATTATAAGGGAGTCAGGAATGGGGAAAAGGTGACAGTGTCTCTTTAAACAGAGCCAGTCCGAACCTGCTTCAGGCAAGGCAAAAATGGATTGAGGCAGAATGGTTGATCTAGCAAAGTAGCAGCTTTGGCTCCTTCATCCCTTTTGCTCCCACTGATAGGGATTGCAATAGGCACAGAGAAGCCCCATCTGCATTGTCTATAATGTCATGGCCCCATCAAACATCAGCTACCTTCAATACATCCTCCCCCTTGAGATGTGACTGACAGGAGCACAGCTTTCACCAACTGCACCACAGCTTTTTTACTGCACGACAATGAAGGTTGCCATTCAGGGGCAGACTGACAACTCATGGGGCCCCCGGGCAATAAGGGATCATAGGGCCCCTGTGTCCTTGTCCAAAGTCAAAAAAGTCTATGAAAAAGGCTGCTGCTGCAGAGAGAGCCATACAGGGGATCAGTTCCAGTATTTGCCCCCCTGCTGTGCCAATCACTCTCCCTGCCCACATCCGATTCATCCAGCTGCATGGGCCCCTCTGCTAGCCTGGGCCCCATACAGGAGGGACTGGTGGTACCCCCTTATCCACGGCCCTGCCTGCACCAACATTTGCGGCCTCGGCTTTCAATTACCAGGTCCTGGATTCCCCACCGGCATCCGGCGATCTCCGAGGATTTCCGACGGGGGAGAGACCTGTATGTAAACAGCACAGATCTCTCCCCTGTTTGCTCCTGCACACTACTTTGTATGGCTCTGCAGTGTGAAAGAACAGACACAGCAGACAGTGAAACAGCACACAGTTAACCCTTTAATTGCCCCACATGTTAACCCCTTCCTACCCAGTGGCATTAGTACAGTGCCAGTGCTTTTTTTTAGCACTGATCACTGTACTGGTGTCACTGGAGATGTCAGTGACACCAAATTAGCCCCCCACCCCCAGTGTCAGAATGCCCGCCGCAGTCCCGCTATAAGTCGCTGATCGCCAACTAGTACTAGTAAAAAAAAAAACAAATCCCAGTATCTATGCCGCCATTTGTAGACGCGATAACTTTCACGTAAACCCATTCATTTACACTTATTGGGATTTCTTTTAGCAAAGACGCGGAGCAGAATACATTTTGGCCTAAATTTATGCCGACATTTGATTTTTTAACATTTTTTTTTTTACTGTACATGTTTTATAGCAAAAAGTCAAAAGTATTGTTTTTTTTTTTCAAAATTGTCGGTCTTTTTTTGTTTATAGCAAAAAAAAATCAAAAACAGAGATGATCAAATGCCACAGAAAGAAAGCTCAATTTGTGGGAAAAAAAAGGACGTAAATTTCATTGGGGTGCAGCGTTGCATGACCGCGCAATTGTCGGTATCACAGCGTTGTAACGCAAAAAATGGCCTGGTCGGAGGGGGGGATCCTCTGCAATCTGCAATCTGAGCACTGGGTGGCGCTGGCTGATTAAAGTTGGATAGATGGCATTCCCTTCAGTTTATTGCTGGAAACATCCCCGTCTACAATAGTAACGTGCGGATTTACACCCCGGCAGGGGCGGACTGACAACTCATGGGGCCCCCGGGCAATAGGGGATCATGGGGCCCCTGTGTCCTTGCCCAAACTCAAAAAAGCATATGAAAAAGGTACCAGGGGCATCTCATGGGGCCCCCTACTGACCCCAGGCCCTCAATAGGGGATCATGGGGCCCCTGTGTCCTTGCCCAAACTCAAAGCCTATGAAAAAGGTACCAGGGACATCTCATGGGGCCCCCTACTGACCCCGGGCCCTCGGGCAGTGCCAGAGTTTCCAAATGGTCAGTCCGCCCCTGCACCTCGGTCACACCAAAGCCGACTTTGAAATCGTGCGACTTACTGTGAAGTTGCACGATTTCAAAGTCGGGTGACATGCCGATTTCAGGTGCGATTTGCCAGACATCTGAGTCACTGGTCACATCAAAAATTGCGCGATTTGTGTGCAACAGGGGTGGACTGACAACTCATGGGGCCCCCGGGCAATAGGGGATCATGGGGCCCCTGTGTCCTCGCCCACACTCAAACCACACCAAAAAAAGCCCATGAAAGGTACCAGGGGCTTCTCATTTGGCCCCTACTGACCCCGGGCCCTCGGGCAGTGCCCAAGTTTCCAAATGGTCAGTCCGCCCCTGGTGTGCAATTTCAGAAGACTTTATTGTGACTTTTTTCAACAGTTTCTTGCAATTTGCAGTGCGATTTCCATTATATTCTATGCATGTGAAATCGCAAAAAAAAACTGCAGAAAAGGTAATGCGAGAACTACTTTACCCCCTCGGTCGCATCAAAGCCGACTTTGAAATTGTGCAACTTACAGATTTCAAAATCGGGTGACATGCTGATTTCGCAACAAAAGTAGCGCATGGACTACTTCAGAAATCGGTGCGTCTCTGACCAAGTTGGAACCGCACTGATATGACCGCTGTAATAGCGGACGATAGGGTGCGACTTGGCATATGATTTTCAAGTCGCAGGGCATGCAAACCGTATTCTAAGTCGCACCCGATGTGACCGAGGGCTTAGAAGACGCGCTGCAGCAAATCGCATGTTAAGGCATCGACATTCACATTCATTAGATGCGATTTCAATTCGCAAATCACCCCTGAAATTGCACCGATGTGACCGGGCTCTAACACAGATGTCTATGCAAACCGCACCATAAGTAGTGCATGCGCTACTTTAGAAATCGGTGCGGTTCCAACTTTGGGCACCAGCAATGGAGCACAATTCCTCCCAATGACACCAAAGGTGGGGCACACAATTCCTCTCACTGACACCAAAGATGGAGCACAATTCCCCTCACTGACACCAAAGCTGGGCACAATTCCCCTCACTGACACCAAAGATGGGGCACAATTCTCCTCACTGACACCAAATATGGGGCAGAATTCCTATCACTGACACCAAAGCTGGGCACAATTCCCCTCACTGACACCAAAGATGGGGCACAATTCCCCTCACTGACACCAAAGATGGGGCACAATTCCCCTCACTGACACCAAAGATGGGGCAGAATTCCTCTCACTGACACCAAAGATGGGGCACAATTCCCCTCACTGACACCAAAGATGGGGCACAATTCCCCTCACTGACACCAAATATGGGGCAGAATTCCTCTCACTGACACCAAAGATGGGGCACAATTCCCCTCACTGACACCAAAGATGGGGCACAATTCCTCTCACTGACACCAAAGATGGGGCAGATTTCCCTCACTGACACCAAAGATGGGGCAAAATTCCTCTCACTGACACCAAAGTTGGGGCACAATTCCTCTCACTGAGACCAAAGATGGGGTACAATTCCTCTCACTGACACCAAAGTTGGGGCAGAATTCCTCTCACTGACACCAAAGATAAGGCAGAATTCCTCTCACTGACACCAAAGATGGGGCAGAATTCCTCTCACTGACACCAAAGATGGGCCCAATTCCCCTCATTGACACCAAATATGAGGCACAATTCCCTTCACTGACACCAAAGATGGCGCACTATTCCTCTCACTGACACCAAAGATGGGGCACTATTCCTCTCACTGACAACAAAGATGGAGCAATATTCCTCTCACTGACACCAAATATGGGGGCAATATTCCTCTCACTGACACCAAATATGGGGCAGAATTCCTCTCCCTGACACCAAAGTTGGGGAACAATTCCTCTCACTGACACCAAAGATGGGGCACAATTCCACTCACTGACACCAAAGATGGGGTAGATTTCCCATCACTGACACCAATGATGGGGCACTATTCCTCCCACTGACACCAATGATGGGGCACAATTCCTCAGTATGCAATTACCAGGGCAGAGCCTGCAGTGGGCCAGTCTGGGGATCCATGTCCCTACATCACGGAAGGCAGTGGGGCGGGCCGGGCACCGTAGTCTAGATGGTGTCTATCCTGAAATACACGACGATCCAGCAGGGGAACGGATCTCCCAACTCTGATTCAACTCTGCTACGGTATATGTAGGTGACATCATCCCTGTGTACTATATTACCTGTCTCTGCTGGGGATGCCAGGACTGGGTGGAGCCCCCCTGACCGGTTCAGTAATCACCTCTCATGACACCATAGAGTCATTATTTATGTAAGATTCAGCCAGGACAGACGGTGTAATGAGCAGCGGCTGGGTGTGACACGGCAGGTCACCGCGGTACGTGCGCAGACGGGGAAAGTGATGTCGGGACAACAGATATTTACATATAATAAAAGCCTGGCTTCCCACAATGCACTTCTGCTCTTCATATAAACAAATGGCGCAATGCAGGGCGAATGTCCCCATCCTCTCGGGTCGGATACGTCGTATCTACCAAACTATGTACACGAGCTGCAGACTCAGAGTTCACACGCAGCATGCTTCCAGTGATTCGTGCATGTACATTGACTGGTGTGGGGGGAAGAGAAGCAGCTGAGAGATGAATGTATCCGCTCTCCCCGGACCCCGCATTCACTATATCCGCTCTCCCCGGACCCCGCATTCACTATATCCGCTCTCCCCGGACCCCGCATTCACTATATCCGCTCTCCCCGGACCCCGCATTCACTATATCCGCTCTCCCCGGACCCCGCATTCACTATATCCGCTCTCCCCGGACCCCGCATTCACTATATCCGCTCTCCCCGGACCCTGCATTCCCTATATCTGCTCTCCCCGGACCCTGCATTCACTGTATCCGCTCTCCCCGGACCCTGCATTCACTATATCCGCTCTCCCCGACCCCGCATTCACTATATCCGCTCTCCCCGGACCCCGCATTCACTATATCCGGCTCTCCCCGGACCCCGCATTCACTATATCAACTCTCCCCGGACCCTGCATTCACTATATCTGCTCTCCCCGGACCCCACATTCACTATATCCGGTCTCCCCGGACCTCGCATTCACTATATCCGGTCTCCCCGGACCCCGCATTCACTATATCCGCTCTCCCTGGACCCCGCATTCACTATATCCGCTCTCCCCGGACCCTACATTCACTATATCCGCTCTCCCCGGACCCCGCATTCACTATATCCGCTCTCCCCGGACCCCGCATTCACTATATCAACTCTCCCCGGACCCCGCATTCACTATATCAACTTCTTCCGGACCCCGCATTCACTATATCCCGCTCTCCCCGGACCCCGCATTCACTATATCGCTCCTCCCCGGCTCTCCCCGGACCCCGCATTCACTATATCCGCTCTCCCCGGACCCATCATGCACTATATCTGCTCTCCTCGGACCCCGCATTCACTATATCTGCTC